CGAGAAAAAAATAATAATGTAACTTTGAACAATAATTTATTTAAGAAGATAACTTTTAAAATTATGAAATTAAAGTAATCTCCATACATTTTGGAATGGTAACATAATAATTATAACAGGCATTGAAAATGTTCACCTACTGCAAATATGCATGCCTCTGCTCTTTTTCTAATGTACTGATGTACTCTTTGGACAATGCTGTGAGTGGTTTAAATAGTTTTGCGACAAATTATGATGCGATTTCTTAACTGTTCTTTAGTATAAAGTGGTGTGCTGTAAATCAATGTTTTGAGTAGTCCCCATAGAAAAAAATCCACTGAATTGAGGTCCGTGGCCGAGGTGGCCATGTCTCTGATCCGCCACGACCTTTCCAGTGATTATTATAATGTTGATTTAACTATTTGCAAGTCAGAGCATTAAACTGCGCTGGTGCACCGTCGGGCATAAACCAGAGACGAGTTCTTACTAAAATGGGAACATCCTCTATCAAAGCTGCCAATTCTTCTTTGAAAATGCCGGTAATTATGCCCATTTAACCTTTCATGAAGAAAATAGGATACAATTAAATAATTACACGTTAACAGAAAACTTCTAGGATTCAGCCCACATGTGATTATTGTGAAAGTTTTGTATGGCGTTCCTGAAAAAGTTGATTTCGTCGGTGAATAAAATTTCAGTGTCAAATTATGGATTTTCAGTAACTTTATGAAGAAACTACTGGCAAAAGTTTATCCGTAATGGAAAGGCGCGTAGTAGTAGAGCTTGAACCCGTTGGATGTGGTAGGAATACAATAAAAAGTCATGGAGAATTCTCCAAACAAGAATATGTAAGATATTAAAATTTTTCTAAATTGTCCGTGTACTTAATGCTGAATCTTCCTCAAATGAATTCAAAACCACTATCTCAATTTCTGGAGTACTTATAATATGTTGTGCTTTTTTTTAGATAATCGTCTGGGTTAAAACTTCCCTTTGTGGCACAATCTTCTATGAATTGTTGAAAATATTCGTGCATCCGGAATATTTCTATTTGGAAAGTGGTTTTCATACAACTGTCCCAGTGCGTTACCATCAGCAAGCCCATACATGTAATGCATGTCTGCAAACTCAGAATTCGAATACACAACCATGTTTTTTAAATATTATTAAAATTAATGATTTAAATTCATGACAACTAGACGAGGTAGACAACTGTCAAAAGTGTTTATATTTGTAAAACAAAACAAAATTTGTACGAAAAAGGTGAGTTGTACGAAAAAAAGTCAAGATATAAAATTTGTTCAAAGAAAAAGCAGTGACGTACCACTTTTTCCTTTAAATATATCTAGTTTGAGTCCCGTACGGACGCTTTTTAACCGAATTTATGACAAGTGATGGATTATAATCCTGAAAACGTCAGCGCGTTGGAGTATTCCCAATATTTTGCACAATAAGGTTCTTATTAAAAATATATTCTAAAAGTTGCTCACCTCTTTGATTGGTGTCGTTGCGTCCCCATACAGTGCTGTGCGCGTTGGCGTCGCATCCAAGAAGTAATGGCAGATGTCTTCTCTGGCAGTACTCCACTAGCCTCGATACTTCCGGGGGTGGTACATGCCCATCTCCAGCGAAGTAACTAGAAGCTATTACTATGTCTTGCCGTCTCATCCCTAATTCCAGGTATGCTCGAATTGGAACGAGATCACGCGTCATGAATTCTGAAAGACAAGAATATTTAATATTACTTCTTACCATTATGCATGTTCTGGGTACTTCATCACTAGTGTGATAAATTACCCTTGCATCCTTACATGCAAGTCCTCTTACCTGGTTTCCATAGACCCACGGTTCCTGGATCAATACGATCCCTAATTGATATTTAGTGAATGTCCTAGATATCACAGCCGAGGCTCCCTTGGCGTGATGGACATTCACTTGGGCGATGTTGATGCCCGCCATTTTTCTCTCCTTTAATGGGGGGTGTTGTCCCCATCGGTGAGGGTGCGTTCCATATCCCCCTCTTCTGCTTCTTCATCAATTTCTACATCCTCAGATGAGTCTACGCAGAGATTTGAGAGGTTAAGGCTCTCTATGCTCTCCACATCAGTCTCATCTTTGGAAGTACTAGGAGTTGGTTCTGTTGTTCCTCCCAGTTCCTTTAATTCTTCTTTCTTTTGAAGGCCGTGTACGGGGATTTTCCCGAATCGATAGTGGATAGTACATCCACTATCCTTGATCCGTTGGCAGGATAGGTCATCTATTCCTAACCTAAGGATCTGGCCTTTGCCCTCGTCTTTTTGACTGACGATTTTCCACAGTGTGGTCGATAGCCCCACATTCTGCGCTTCTATTAACTGTAGAAGCTTCTCTACAGGCTTCCCTTGACTTCTTGGGAGAAAGAGCGTGGCTGTATGTGCTTTCGGGATGTCGTCTCCCGCACATACCTCCAACTCCACTCCCTTCAAGTTGCTCAGGTGTGGTATTTTTGCCCTGAGCCATTCTGCTGACTGTGGGGTTTCACAGTCGATCAAGACCATTCCTGGCCGGAAGTGGATGCCTCCAAATTGGAGCTTATGCTCCCATCCAGCGAACATCTCTTCTACCAGGGCTTCTTCCACCAAGGTTTGTTCGTTCGCACTGAGGATGGTCTCAGGGAACCCCTTAGGTAGGATCGCGACCCGCTTCGTCTTCACGACAGTTGCATAACTGCCCGAAGCGGAAGTATCGGCCACTTTCCTTTTCTTTTCTTTCCTTTGCGGTGGTGTAATGTTATTCCCGTCCCGCTTTCTTTTCAGATCCTTAGGATTGGTTTTACTTCCCTCTCCCTGGGATCTGTGCTCTACAGCTTTCTTTTTCGCTTCCTCCGGTGTCATGCCCTAAGCGAGGTAGCGAAGATACCACCGAACCCCTGCCCCACTGAGTCCATGCCTCAGTGGGTCGTCCCTTCCACCAGGTTGTCCCAGTGGAGGTAGGGAAGGTAGCTTCCGTTTGGATTCTTTCTTGAGGGGAGCTTCCCTCGCCGATGAGTGGTGAGAGGGGGATGGAGAAGATGGAGCGATGGTGCTCCTCTTCTCCCTTCACCTCTTTCTTTTGTTCTCCCACTTCTCTCTTGTGACGTTGTCTCACTTGAGAGGTTGAGGGAGGTTGATCGCTTCGGATGGCAGGCTCCGTTTGATCAGATTTGGTGGCGGTGTAGTCCCGCCGGGGTTTGCTAAATTTGGTTTTCTTGCCCATGTAAATCCCACGAACAGCTAGGGAAATAAATTTGACCGACGCAGAGCCCCGCATGCGCCGGCAAGGCTAGATACAAGAGGGTTTCGCCAGGTTCCCTCAGAGGAACGTTCGAAACCGCTTTCCCAGCGGCCATTCAGCCTTCAGCACGTTGCCTTACACCTTAGCTTGGGGTATTGATGGAGTGCCATTTAGTTAGTTAATAGTGCTGTTCATAGAGCAGCCATAATAACGTATCCAGCGGTGCCACGAGGAGTAAAAGCTATGCAGGGAGTGTCAATACTACTAGAATACCTATACTGTGGTCTCATCCTAGAATCTTGATTTGAGTCTCATCATCGTCTCGCATCCCAGTAGGAGTAATGACGTGCTTGTCCTCATCGCCTGTAGATGTTTAGCCCTTGGTAAAGTCCTATTTTTATATTATTGTAATTTTTTGTGTATTGTATTGATCGTTAATAAATTGTTAATTGTTGTTCTGCTTTTCATTCTTCCAAGTCAGGTAGCACATTACAACCGAAAGGCCCGTGACAATAAAAATATATTCTATATTTTATCATTTATATATCACCACCTCTACTACCATGGAGAGAAAATGAAAGAATGGAAAAAGTAAAAAGTAATATTGCTATAAACGATGGAATGGAAGGGTGTTATTTTTCATTAAAATTTCTCGCACTTTTGTATTACTTCAAGTAGCTAACAATTTAATTGGTGTATACACTTTTTTTAGACAATATAATTGGAAGTTTAGCTCTGAAAAGATACGTAATGGGTTTCGTTAAAAAATTAAATTACCACAATTCGTGTATACAGGGTTGGACAAAGTTAGCGAAACACTAGATTTCGGTTTTATTGGACAAGTAACAAAAAATGCTCTCACAGGCAAGGCTGATTTTGTTTTAAAAACATTTTTCATATAAAGGGTGACTCCTAGGCTAATATTTTTTTAAACATTTATATCATATAAGTCGTTAACATAAACATCTTTTCAAATAACTTTTTTTTAAAATAAACTTTAACATAGGAATAAGACAGAAATAAATGTTGGAATTGTATATCAAAATTATATTCCTGTATATCAATACCCATTTCTGTTGTAACAAAAATTAAATATTATGATTGATGAACTGATAATGTTACTATGAATTCAGTAACAGATTACTTAACTTACTTTATTAATTTAGTAAAATAAAATATTTATTCTTCGATGGATATTAATAAAAGTAAAAAGTATAAGTTTGTCATTTAATTCACTGAATTATGTCTAACATAAATCTAAATCTGGGTCTGGATTTAGGTATGAAAATTTAAGCTGATTAATAAGTTTGTTTATGTTTTTATCGCTTTTTTTGTTTTACCTATGCATCACGATTAATTGTCTACTGGTTATTGTAATTCAGTCACACTTGACCTTAGGTTAGTACCCCACTCTTTTTTATTTTTAGTTCAAGAAAAAATACCTACATTGGTAAAGGTTATATCTAGGACGACTGTAAGTCAATTTTTCCAAAACTTGGTAGAGTTTTTATAGATGGAAATTACAAAATTTCAATTTTGCACATCAAAATAAAACAAATAATTACTATAAAAAAAAATTATTTACAGAAAGAAACGCAAAATGGTGTTCATTCTGACATCATAAAAAACTAAGTAAGTACAGTACACGTTTAACCAATATATACTATTTAATTATTATAAATATGATTGTGTTGGTACGTACTGTCAAATACCAAATAAAACTAATAAAAAGCTCATCAGTACTAAACTAAAAGAAGCTTCAATAATTATTAGTGACTCCCTTGGGCCTGTCTCGCATAGCAAAATTTTTCAAAAGAAGGTTTGATATTACAAATAGCCACTCTAAATTCTTCGTCTATATTCAGTCGATACCTATATTTTGTCTTTAAAGCAGCCATCACAGAAAATCCGTCTTCACAAAGACGGGATGTTGAAAATGGCAATAATATACGGATTGCTCTTGTTTTAAGTGGAAAAAATGCATCATTTACTCTCGCCCAAAATTCAAAGATAGAATATTTACTAGTTTCTCTTTCGATTTCGCTGCTTGCAGTAAAGCCTATGAAGATTTCTTTTTCTGCAGTTGAGAGATCTTCGGAAGTAGTAAGAAATGGATCCTTAACTCGCTCGTAACTTGCTGCCAATTTGTCGTCAGCAATAAAATACTTTTTAAAATTCTGTGGCAACATGGTTAAATGACTTTCTATTATTACAAAAACAAGTTTCACATACTATTCTTCTTCCTTGTATGTTTTGACACACTCATTCACATTTGCAAACATTTCTAGTTTTTTGTTTCACATTTCTGCTCCACAGTTCCAACTTTCTACAAAAAGCACTAATTTTATCACTGGTATCCAACATATGTGTGTTTGCTCCTAGGAGTTGCAGATTCAGAGTATTTAATGACATTAAAAAAATAATTTAGTCCGAACTGAACTGCAAGATAAATCTTGTTTTCTTGGTGGATAAACTTTGTTTCAGTTACTTGGTCAACAGCTACCAACTGTAACATTTTTTATTTTCTTGTTGCCCTGGTGGAGACAAAATGTTCATATATGTTGCATCTTGTTTCTACATTTTGCCAGAAATGGCAACATTGAGAAACAAAAAAGTTACTCTATGTTGCTTTAGTGGATATGATTGAATAAAATCCACATTTGTCGAATCGTCAAACAGCTTCAGCGTTAAATATTAACAATTTCTTTGATTCTCCGCGTATTTAAAGAAAATCAGATACATTCACATAAACTTATACCAACTAATGTGCTCGCGGAGATGATTTTGATAGGCGACATTTCTTTTGTGAACCAATGATGCAAATGATAGATGACAAAACTTTACAAATAGAAAAAGTTTTATTTTTGGATGAATGTACATTTACTCTTACAGGGTCATGTTAGTCGCTAAACTGTCCTACTGGTCTAGAGAAAAGCCTCACTTAATGAGGGTACTAAACACGCAAAATCCTAAACAAGGTAATGTTTGGGCAGTTCTTGCATCCTATTTACTACGTTATAGCTTGAACAGCCGTTGTACAGTGGTAAGTAATGTAATCGAATTACCGCTGTTTTATGGAAAACATTTGTTTCTTAGTTGTAGCAATGGTTGGCTCTGAATCATAATAGACATATATTATCAAAATACAGCTTTAATCCATTTTATTAAAAAAGTACTATAAAACTAATCCAATGCACTTGTACAGATCTAAACATACTTGAACCACAGCTTATACAATACAGCTAAAACATTCTCTTGGCGGCAACGGTTTGCGTCGATTTCGTCGCGCATCGCTTAAGCTCCGCCTTCGAAGGGAAAAGACGGTTTTGGCGTGCAGAAGCGTACTTAGGTAAGGTGTTGAGTCGATTGTATAATTTCGTTGATTGTATAATTTCGTGGAGCCTATAATTTCGTTGATTTTGTTTGAGTTAAAGGTACTGTTATTATTTTGGTGACTCTTTAGCTGTGAGTAGAATGAGTTTGTGCAGTCAAAAGCTGTTTTAATAAGGGTTATACCTGCAAGAAAACATTCTTTAGTTTTCCCAAGGACCCAAACCGATAAGTACTACATTATAAGAAATTTTCATTGTTAAAAATATAATTTATACAGGGTGTCTCATTAGTGCGTTATTGTTCATTATTTTGTTGTAGACACGCAAGAAAGTTTTAAATAAAAGTTATATGGATTTGAAAAATACCTACATATTTTAAAAATATCTTTGGATATACAGGGTGTCACGTTTTTGCCTGGAAAATTAAAATGTATGTTTTTTAAATGGAACACCTTGTATTTTATTTTATGATGAAATTATTAACACCCTAAATTATTGTAAAGACGAATTGCTACAGAAAATTTTTATCAGGTATGTGTGTGGTTACCTTTTAATAAAAGCCTTGCGGATCCACTCCTGCGATACCTGTCTTAAATATAACAAAGATCACGTTGAATTAGACGATTTTTCTTTTTATTGCTTTTAAAAGGCATATGATAACGCCAATTCAGATACATTTGGAAATCTGCAACTGTCAAATGATGAATTTGTAGAACTAATATTCAATATTGAAAAGATATTTTAAAATAATTTTGAAGAATTGGCTACAAAAAATAACATTTGTACCACACTTTTAGAATTAATTAACCCAATACCCTTTAGTTATCCATGCTAACGTTTTCCAAAAGAATAACTTATTTTATTGTATGTTTAATCTCAATAACTAAAAAATATACTGACAATTAGTTTGACAGAATTGTCATTTATTTAAAATTTTAAAAATAATAGCAGTCGGTTGATCAAAATATGAACGGTGATTGGCGAATTTATTTTTTTTTGCAGTGTTCTCACTACCTAGAATGGATATGAAATATATTCGTTCAATTAAAGGCAATAGCATACTTTTTCGTTTTGTAATCTGTGCATGGATATTAGCCAATCTACGCACATACTACAAAACGAAAAATTATGTTATTGCGTTCAACTACGAATATATTTCATATCCATTTTAGGTAGTGAGAACACTTTAACAAAATTAAATCTACAAATCACAGTTCATATTTTGGTCACCCAACTCCTATTATTTAAAAATTTTTAAATAAGTGACAATTCTGTTAAACTAATTGTCAATATATATTTTAGTTGATATTAAATATACATTAAAATTTTTGTGTAGACTCGATAAATAATTGCATTTTTGTTTTTATTATGTCCACATTTAAAAAAAAAAAAAATTTAATCAAACTACATGATACTAATTTAATTACGAGTATTAAAACTAAAGTCCTGAAAGTTTCGGTGAAGATGAGGACAGAACATCTGCCTTCCATGCGAAAAGCCCGGGATCGAATCTAGGCCGAGGACTAATTAATTTTTCATGTTTATTTTATTTTATAAATTAGTCAACTTCGTAATTTATTTTAAAATTAGTTATTTTGTCTAAATAACCTAAAATAATTTTTTAAATTTGTAGATTTTCGTTAGTGGGTCGTAGAAAAAATATACTGACCATATCGAGTGGATTGTTCATATCACAATCAGACGATTGAGTACTCCGCCTACGACGTCGTGCTCAAACTTCGTCTTTGTGTGATATGGCTATCATATCCACCCTTGTTGAACAAACTACAATTTATTTGTTTTCTTGGTTTAAGTTTTACATCAGAAATAAGAACTAAATTAATTTACTTTTCAAGTTTTCTTGTAAAAATCGATATTACTTTCTCCAAGTACAAATTTAGTACCTACCTAAAATAAGTACTAATTATGTAATATCGTGTAATATTGTAATTCAAATTTCACATTACTATAAAGTTTCAAAATTCCCTACTTCGGTATGGTTAGATAAAAATTGAATATATTATATTAATAAAAACTGTCAAAGTATTACTTCTACAAATCTGTATTTCAATTAATAAGAATACTTCTAAATATAACCAATATTGTTAAAATAAAAGCACAAATTCTTTATAATTCCAAAATACCATAGAGTTCCCAGACCTCAGTCGAAGCATTCGTTTATCTAGGTATAAACCCTTTGCGCGAAGAGTAACACTTGCCAGAGACACGGGGTACCACTTGATTTGCATCCACGAGCGTGGCACATTTCTTTAACAATTGAAGCCCTTGGTGTAAAAAGGATCCAAGTCACAATTTGTCGTGACTGTTTTAGCTCAAAACATTTGTTAACGAGGATTTTACTAGCCACATACAAATTATTTTACCTCTAATCCGAAAGATGTGCTATTTTTCGTAATATTTATATTTAAATAATTTTTTAATTATATTTGACAGATTTAAAACAAATTAAAAATTTAATTTCCCAAAACTTACTTAACATGGCATGGAACCAACCCTATTACGTAAAGGTTTTCAATTTTTTCAGTAGTTTAATCCGGGCCCGACTTTTCCCTTTAATCTAACAGAGATAGCACCATTCCGTCTTGCTTGGTTCTCGACCGCCAGATCAAAGACGCCGACACGGAGTTGTGGAGCTGTATTGTATAAGCTGTGCTTGAACCGTAGGTAAACATGTGACAGTATTCCAGGCAAAAATGATAGCAATATATCACTGCACAAAAGAGATTTGATATTAAGGTAAATGTCATGTCATATATTTAGATAATTAAGTGACTTTAAATGCACTCAGTTTTATTCAGATTCACTCAAAGCTTGTGTGGAACTGTTTGAAAACCATAACAGAGCTAGGTTGTTAAAACAGATTAATCATACCCTAGATTTACTAGCTCAAGAAGGAGATGTAACAAAGATAGCTTTTAGAATATGCACAAAGCAGTGGATTTTTAAATCCCAGAAATTGTGGAAAAAATGTTCAAGGCAGGGACAAGCCAAAGAGTTTTTATAGACCATCTTTAGAATTCACCGAGCATCTATTAAGCCATATTAGAAAAAATACTAGAGTACTAGTAGGCCTATTAACAGAACAGTGTAGGCTTAACAAACATATGCATATTATCGGCCTGACAGGAGAAACATTTTGCTGATTTCGTAGTTAGACCAGGATATTGCAAAAATCGTATTGTGCTAAGGTCTACCAAGACTGATATTCCTTACACTTGGGGAAAAACAACATGGCAACTAGCTACACCGGAGCACTACTTTTCAGCCTACGGAGTCTACTACAGAGGACCAACTTAGACAAGGTACTCCAATCAATGATTAAAGAATATCCACAATAGATCTGAATAGATCGACATGGTTTGATTCTCTACTCTGGCCAATCACTACTGGGCAGTTCCTTAAGTGCCGCTGGAAAACAGAAGCAAGGCTTGTCTGTAGGTGTGCAGATCACGAGGCTAATGGCCTAAGTTGTTGAAGACCTAATTACTGATTAACAACAAGTTACAGCAAAGGAATAGAAACTCGCGAAACGGTTGCATGCTCCAGCTGAAATACAGAAGAGCGGTTAATATGCTCCCCAAAAGTTGCGCAACGTGCGGCTGTACTGCAGTAAGGAATTAAATATCAGTATGAACGTTATTTCTATTACATTGTTTACCGCAGTACAGCAAATACCTCAGCTATTACGTGGTAAAGAATATATTTGCATCAAATCGATAGTAACGATTTATTTGGCAAACTTGTCGTCTGGTCAGACGAATGCTTTTTTTCAAGTGCGGTCATTTTTAATTGTCACAATGCCAGGAACTGGCATAGTGAAAATCAGCATTTTATGT